TATAGGTGGGAAGACTGAGGTATGGTGTATTATAAATTCCCGAAAGATCGGCCGCCTAGCATTAGTGGTGAAGCGGGAATTCGCACCCCAAGCTGCCATGCTAGACAGACTCATGAGGAAGCTAAGGCCCAGGCTGGGCCTTCTCATCCTCTCCCTTCCCAGCTCCTCTGCCCCACCACAGACCAACACACTCCAGCAAAGAGGAGCGTGTTCGAAACCTATGGGTACCCGCGGGAGGGGGCTGCCCATAATTACTATTTGCATTATGTTCCCACGGTTCCCACCCCCACTGCTCCCCCATGGCATGCTGGTGAAGGAGAGAGCCTTATTATCCTCATTTTGCCGACAAGGCAACGGAAGCTCCAGGAGCTTCTGAGACTCGCCCAAGGTTGTCTGACCTGTAGGGGCAGAGTGAGGGCCTGAGCTCAGACCTTCACACTCCAGAGCCCAGGCACATTCCACAGCACCAGGTGCCCTGGGAGGCCTGACCAGCTGCCTCACCCAGTGCCATTTGCATTTTAAGAGGGCACCAGGATCCCTCCCCTGCTCCCCAAGAGTGAGCTGCTTGTGGTAGAAGGTCAGGGTCAGTGGGCCTGAAGTATTGGAAAGGGCAGTGTCTTCCCAGACCTGCAGAAATACCCCATATGAGGTCTTTGGGCCCTACTCAGAAAGCCCCACTTTTTTTTTTTTTTAAGATTTTATTTATTTATCTGTCAGAGAGAGAGCACAAGCATGGGGAGCCGCAGGCAGAGGGAGAAGCAGGTTTCCCCACTGAGCAGGGAGCCTGATGCAGGACTCGATCCCACGTTACCTGAACCAGAGGCAGACGCTTAATGGACTGAGCCACCCAGGCGTCCCAAGGAAGCCCCACTCTTGATTCACCCTCTTCCCTACTGTAAATCCCGGTAAAAGGGACAGACACACAGATATGGCTGTCTACAAGGCCTTGGTAGCTCTGCCTGGGGCGGGGGTTGGTGGGACTCATGGAGGGAGAGATCTATTCAGGGTCCTTCTTTAGTCTCTGGCTGGAAATGGCATATAAAAATAGGGTAGTGAGGGGCGCCTGGGTAGCTCAGTGGGTTAAGCCTCTGCCTTGGGCTCGGGTCATGATCTCGGAGTCCTGGGATCAAGCTCCACATGGGGCTCTCTGCTTGGCAGGGAGCCTGCTTCCCCCTCTCTGCATCTCTGCCTACTTGTGACCTCTCTCTGTCAAATAAATAAATAAAAATCTTTTTAAAAAAATAGGATAGTGAGAGGGAAGGGACTGGTGAGACCCTCTACTTGACTTCTAGACTTCCTTGCCCCCTGGCATTGGAGGCTTAAGTGCGGGCTGAGGAAGCAGGTGGCTAGTTAGGGGTCTTCCTCAAAGCTCTAAGGCAGGTTCTCAGCCTTGGCGCTGCTGACACTGTGTGCAGAGGATTCTGTGTTGGGGGGCTGTCCTGGCTCTGTAGGATATTTACCGGCATCCCTGGCCTCTCCCCACTGGATGCTGGGATCATCCCGACCGTGACAAGCAAAAATGTCTCCGGGCATTGCTAAGTAGTTTCCTGGAGAGAAAAACAGCCCTGGTTGTGAACCACTCCTCTGAAGTCACACACACCGGTATCCTCCCCCCGCCCCCCATCCCCACCCAGTGCACTTGACAGAAGAACCCGAGAGGGGAGGAGATGATTAAATGAAACCAGATGGTAACCCGGAAAGTATGCATTCAGGCCCCACCCTCCCCCAGAGCGGGCAAGTGCTGGGCCCTAGGCTGGTGATGGGGTGTTCTCAGCCCTCTGAGGTTAGTCACCTGGAGCCTGGCTGGGCCCTTGGAGGGCGCAGGGCAAGGCTGGGCTGCCTGGGCTTCCTCTCCCTCCTTCCCCCTCCTTTTCTCCCTCCTCCTCCCCTTGCCCCTCCTCCCTGGTGTCTTCTCTTCCTCCTCCCTTTCCTCTTCTTCCTTGCCCTGCGGGGACTGTCGCTCTGCCCGTTTCTGTGAGGGCCTCATCCCTGGATGTGCTGAAGGCTCTGGGTGCCCCCACTCCAGGGCCCCAAAGTTTGCTGTAGCAGCCACTGAGGCATAGCTGACAGGTGGACCAAGGGCAGGAGCCCCCCCCCCCCCGCCGACCCAGGGCAGGGCCTGGGCAGGGCCAGAGGCAGGGCGGGGGTGGGGTGGGAGCATTCCAGGCCTGGTTCTGGCACTAAGTAGTCTCCGCTGTGGGACTTCTGCAGGTCCCCATTAGCAAAACTATCGCCCTTCCCTTCGTGGGTCTCTGGTCAGAACCCCTCCAGCCATTCTGAAAGCACATGCCCCTGTCACTCCTGACAAGCCTCCTGAGCCTGAGGAGCAGGGACCAGATGGCCAAGATCGAAGGCTGGTGAACGCTGCAGGTCCTCATCTCCACGGCTGTGGGCCGACCCCTTCTGCAATGTCAAGGGGACCGGAACCCCACATCCTCAGAAGCATACTTCCTACACTGAACTTCCTGCGTGTCCAGCACTGCCCCACAACAAAGAATTCTCAGTGCCCAGGTTCCGTGGTGCTAACGGTAGGACGCCCCGCACTACAGGGCTTCGTGAGTGTGTTTCCATTTGTGTTATTTGCACATTCGGAGTCTGGCCTATAAGAGGAGTCATTTTGAATGAGTGACTGCGTGAGGCAAATAAGGCTGCAGCCTCAGCTGTGCTAAGCGAGGGTAATGCCAAAAGCCGGCATTCACAGCCCTGCAGCCTTCCTGTCCACTGGGGAGGTCTGGCTGCCCTTGCCCTCAGCGGCTCCCCTGCTGCCCTTGATGAAACGTGGGTAGACCCCCAAGCCCCTCCCCCTGCAGCGGACATAGTAGGCATGGTGGGGCATAGCGTGTGGACCGCAGGGTCAGGCAGGCCTGGGTTCAGTCACTGGCCGCCTGCACCTAGATGGACAATGACACTCCTTATTACAGTTTGCTCAACTATAAATAGGACTAAGTAACAATATCTTCCTTAAAGGGTACTGGGAGGATTAGAAGAGATAATCCACATAAAGGGTTCGATGCTGTGCTCGCAGCAGGTGGGGAAGAGTGATTGTTGATTACGGGCGTCAGAGCCCATTTCCGGTGTTGCCCCTCTGCTTGCCCCTCTGCTGCTGAGTCCAGAAGAGTGTGGGAAGGCTGCTGAATACTTGGTCGCCCCTCTCTCCAGCTCAGCTGTGTGCCAGCCCTGGGATAAGCCCCAGTGACACAAAGGCATCTAGGATGCGGTCCTGAAACTTCGAGCGGTTCACGAGCCATTGGAACACTGGCAGGAGCCTGGAAGGACTGGGATCTGGGGTTAGGACGAGGCCAGCATAGCAGCCAGGGCAGCGAGAGGTCCCAAAGCATTCAGGGCCCTTGCAGACAGACTCAGAATTAGCTCCTCCTTAAAATGTGCCCTGGCCTCCTCCTAGTCCCAGCCAAGCAAATGACCACACCCCAAGAGGAGGACCTGAAGGCACAGAGGAGGAGGAGATCAGGGCAGGAGCTGCAGTGCCAGAGGCTTCCTGGAGGAAGTGTTTGGGGGGTGCTGGCCTGGAAGGAGAGGAAGGATTTTGAAAGGCAAAGCTGACAACACACACATTCCTGGGTAGGGACTTTTAGCACCAAAGCCTGCTTGGGAGGAAGGCCCTGGGCAGATGTGAGTTGGGCAAGTAGTTTGTAAATTAAATGCAAAAGAGCGTACATCATCTCTCGAGTACGGGGATTTCCTCTGGAGGATGGCAGTGCTCTGTAGCTGGGGGTTCCCTCCCAGGGCCCCCGGGGGCTGGAGGGCTGTGAGGCCGGGCAGAGTGGAAGTGGGTTCCCCTTGCCACTGTGTCCTGGAGGAGCAGGACAGAGCCAGCCCGACACACAGGCATCTTGTCCTCTGGGTTGTGCTGTCCTGTCTGTGAAGGTCCCCAGTACAACGGGCATCCAGTACCTGGGAGATAGTGTGGGGTCAGAGGTGAACCGAACACCTGAGTGTCACGAGAGTGGCAACGGAGGAGTAAATAAATGGCACTAGACCTGATGGGCATGGCCCTGAGGGCCTCCTAGAGGAATAGACCTCCATACCCCATCAGCCAGGAGTGGTGATGATGGAGAGCCGCGTTGACCTTCGTGACAATGAGAGGCGCTCTAAAAAGAACGGGTGGACTGGTTGGAACGGGGACTGCCCCTCGCTAGAACCCAGTTCAATTGGACCAACATTTATTGAGTGCTCACTAAATGCCTTGTTCTGGGGTGAAAGAAGGAAGAGGATCTGGGAGGCTGTTGTGTCAAGATACGGTCGAGGGAGCACTGCCCTTAAGGAGCTCACAGCTGGAAGGGAAAGAGAATCTCCCTGACTGATGGGGGGCCGGGGGCATGCTGGGCTGGGGGAAGCACCCCAGCAAATGCCCAGGGGCTTCGAAGGACCAGGTGCCACCAGGGGTGATGGGCAGGAGGTCTGGCAAGAGCACAGGTGATGGGAACCCGTCCTTAATGTCCTTGCCTTCAGGGCTGGCAGTACAGAGCAAAAGATGCTTTGAGGAGGAGAGCTACACAAGTTGGCCATTGATATGGAAAGATTCATTTGGTGTGAGTGTGAAGCCCAGCCTGAGAGGTCCGAGATGGGCTGTAGGGAGGGTTTGGTGGGAAGCCGGAGTAACCCTGCAGGAGGATGGAAGCCTGGCAGGAGTAGTGGCAGAGGAGGGCCAGATGAGAACCATATGGAGGACATTGACGGCCGTACATGAGGGAGAGGGGTGAGGGGTCACCTTGGCTTCTGGTCTCTGAGCTGGCAGAGGCCTCTGAGAAGCAGGCTGGGGTCTGCACAAGCCAGGGACAGGTCAGGGGCCCCTGAAGGCCACCCCCTTACCTGGAGCTGTCTGGCTCCATGGCCAGCAGAGCTGTCAGCCAGAACCAGGCTGGCTCTAGAAGCTTCTGACTGGTGGCACCTTGCCTCTCATCCCACCCTTGGCCGAAGCAGTGGAAGCCCCAGTGTCTGATGCCTCAGCTCTCCCCTTCTTTCCTCCCTCCCCCTCCCAGGACTCAAAGAAACCCTCCTTACCCGGCCAGGAGCCGAAGACACCATCGGGCAAAAAGGTGAAGTCTCCACGCCCTCCCCTGTCCTGGTCATGGAAGCAGGACCGCGAGCAGACGCTGGCAGCAGCTTACGTGCCAGTGGTGTTAGACCCGAGGGGGCAGAACCTGGACAAGCTCAGATTCAACTTCTACACCTCCCAGTACTCCAATTCCCTGAACCCCTTCTACACCTTGCAGAAGCCTACCTGTGGCTACTTGTACCGAAGGGACACCGACCACACCCGCAAGTCCTTTGACGTGCCTCCTGCCAACCTGGCCTTGTGGCGCTCCTAGGCCCCCACCAGGCAGCAGCCCCCCCCTGCACCTTTCCCTCCGCAATCCTGGGTCCCAGGCAGGGGGGATGGGCTGCCTGTTCCAGGAGGAGTGGACTGAGCCTGGGCTAGGAAAGCGGTGCCATGCCGAGTGTCAAGGATGACAAAGGGAGGTCCCTGTTCTTGCAGCAATTAAAGTTGGTCCTTCCTTTCCCCAGCATCTGAATGAGTGGCTGTGGGTGGGTAAACCGAGGCCATAAGGTTGTTGTACAACAGGTCAAGTCCAGAGGTGCCTGAAGACTTGGAAGGACTTGATTCGTAGCCCCCTCTCCTCAAGAGTGGCCTCCACACCCCTCCAGAGCCAGGTCAAAGCTGAGGCTGGCCACACCCTCCCCATAGTCGAAGCTTGGCAACCCCTCCAGAGTCAACAAAGAGAAAAGTCAGCTGACTGTGAGCCACCGGAAAATGGGGAAGCCATGCAGGGCGAAACCCAGTCTCTGGGGAGCCCGCCTCTGCAGCCTGAGTCTTAGACCAAACCAGCCCTTCTACAGTTTGCTGCTGGGCGGATGGATTTCCCATCTTGTTTCCGCTCTGGTCCCGAAGAGCTGACCCTGAGGTTAGTCGGGCTCACAGGCCATGTTTCCTGAGGAAGAGCGATGAAGGCAGAGGGCGCTTGACCCCGTGCAGTCCTGAGGGCATCCCTGCCTGCCCTGGGACCCAGCGGTGTTCTGGAATCAGCTCAGATGGGCCTGAGGGGGCGGACTGCGGGCCTCTCCTCCCGAGTCCACAGCTGGTGACTCCGTGTTGGTGACTGCTGAGACCAGCAAACACCTGCACATTGGGGTTTCTCCTTTTCAGAGAGCCAGTTGTAAAGTGCCGGCCAGCACATCACTGAGTGAGCCCAGCAGACTTCATCCTAGAGGTCACCGCTCATTCTGGGGGGGCGGGTACTGGTGTACCCATCGGAGCATCCTTCTGCAGTGGAAGAGAGTGGGGCCGGTGTGGGATGGAGGGACAAGATTCTGGAGACCCAGACACGCCGCCAAGGCATTGGCCAGGGCTCCCTGGATGCCTTTCTCTGAAAAGAAGAGGGTGGGAAGGGAAGAATGAGCCCCCCTAAAGTTACCTCACAGGACCGAGTCCAGGGTTTTCTGTTTGTCTGCAGTAGGCTCTCTCTCAAAAGCCAGAGGCTTTCCTTCAGTGCCTGGCGATCCTTGGCTGGAAGCGGGCCCTTTGGCCTCTGGACCAGGTCGCTCCTGCCCGATTGTCAGTGTCAGAGTTGCTGGCATGAGAAGGAGCTGGGGGCCTCTTCGTGTGCGGATTCTCCCTTAACTCCCCAAAGTTTCTAGAGCGACCTTTCGCTCTTCTCCAGCCGCTTGGTCCAGAGCCCCAGAATAAGCAACAGCTGGGGGTGGGGGAAGGAGGCCCAGACATGTCCGTCCTGCTGCCTTGCAGAGCCGTCTGGGGACCTTTCCACTTGTCCCCCTTTTCCTGCCCCTGCCTGTCCTAACCCCAGCTTCCAGGGCACCTTCTGCACCCACGCCTGAGCCCGCAGGCTTCTGAGGCAGGCACAGGCACTGCGTCCGGACCATCGACCTGCCCTGTCAAAGTGTTTGAGTTTCGACTTTCTGCTCTGAGACAGTTACCCCTTGTCCATCTGCCTTCTGTTGTCCAGAATTTTACTAGAACCTCTTACCTGCTGTCTTCTTTCTCTTTGTCTCTGTGGGTTGGTAGGTTTAAAACCATTATTGCCTTTTTTGTTGGAATGGAGATAAATTCAAGTGTTCAGCCTAGGTGTAAAGAAAAGTCAAACATCCACACCATCATCCAACAGACCCTTGCTGAACACCCGAAGGCTGGGTCCTTAGGCTGCAGAAATGTCTGAGAACCGTCTCTGCACCCCCAAAACCTGAGAACCGGGTGGGCTGAAGTGGGGGTGGGGGTGGAGGCCCAGCATTTTCCCTTCCCCAACAGACTAATGCCCTTGCCTCTCCCCTGGAGAATGGTCTCCCCCTTGAGGTTCACCTTGGTAGAGCAGCCTTCCAAGGGACTTTTTAAAGAAGCTGACCCAGGTCCCACGTGGGTGTGGGCGGGATCAGTCCAGAAGGCAAAGACCCAGTGCTTAGGGCTCTGATCTGTTTCTGTGGGGGTGGAGAGTGGCAGCCAGGCAGCCTTGGAGGGGAATGGTTAGGCCTGGGACGGCTGCCCCTCCCATCTCTTCCCAGCCCGGCTTCTGCCTCCGCACACCTGCACCACGCACTCCTTCTCCCTGGAGCAGCTCAGCCAAGTGGGTCTTCTCACGCAGCTCTTGGCATCCATCCCAGGAGGGATCCCTGAAGTCATGAAGCAGCCTGGGGAAGCCCCCAGGCCTCTGTCTGACGTGCCCACCATAGCGGGTGTGCACTTGGCCCCTCTATACCTCTCTGTGTGTTCACCTCTTCCTGGAGGCCTTGGTATGGATCCCAGCCCTTCTGACCTGGCATCCGTGTCTGGGCGAAGAATGGAGAGCGGGACTGAGAGAAGCCACAGAAAGGGGAGAAGCTGCGCTCTGGGCTGGGGAAGTCGGCGATGTCATTCCCACCCAGGGTCTGAGAGAAAGGATGGGGGCCCCACATCCAAACGTCCTGAGACCCCTGTCACTAGAATTGTCCCTGCAGATGGGCCATGGAGAAGCTGCTGGAGTCGGGGCTGGAGGGATCCTCTACATCCCCCCTCCATCCCCCCGCCGGGCCTTCCTCAGAGATTTAAAGGCTTGTGCTAAGAGCGTGATGGTGAGGGGAAAATTCTGGTGCCACCACTTGGAATTTCTGTGAACCTCAGAATGATTTTTTTTGTCATCAGTTCCTCTTGGGTCACGTGGAAATAATCCCACCCCACAGGGCCATTGTAAGCCTCCTCCTCGAGCTTAGTTCGGTGCCCTGAACACAGGAGACACTGGATGGAGGCTCCGTCCTGCTCCAGCCTTCTTGAATTCTTCCTTTAATCATTCATTCACAACAAGATTTTACTATGCTCAGGCTTAGAAAGATAAATTTCTGAGTTTCTGAGTCAGAGTGTTTAAGGAGGGGAGTGTTTGCAGAGAAGGGGGCATCACTGAGGGACAGGTGACACGCCCAGAGAGTGGCCACAGAGGGCAGTCCATCTTGCTTCCAAGCCTGAGTGGTAAAGGGAGGTGGCTTTACCACAGGAGCCCAGGGAGAATGTTCCTAGGAGCTGTGGTTGAAGATAGAGAAACCAGTCAAACCACCTCTCTCCTACTACCAGCCAGTCTCCTTCCACGGCTTCCCAGGCATGAACCGCTGGGAGCCAGAGGGCAGGGGAGGCCCAGTGAGTGAGTCTGCAGGGGTGAGCCTCCAGGAGCTCAGAGCACACAGAAAAAGCTGGAGAATGAGTGGGGAGGGGGCCAGCGGGACAACCAGCAACACGACCATGTGCAATTCAGGTACTAGGTCCGGAACAGTGGCCTCTGCCCCAAGTTACTGAGGACAGGCTGACAATACACAGCTGCTTATAATCCAAGAAATAAATGAACATTATGTTATAGAAGTGTGGACATTGTCATAGATGTGAAGGTGACCCCCATGACTTCCATCTCCTGCTCTTTCTGCCTTGCCACAGTCCTCCTGCTTTGGCTGGGGGAAACCCATGACTCGCAGCTCACCCACAGAATGTGCCAAAGGTAATGGGATGGCATCGCCTTGGGTAGCTACCCTACGTAAGCTTCCCCTGTAGCAGATTGGAGAGAGAGTGTACTTGCAGCTTTATGAAATAAGGAGCCACGTTGGGGAGCCCATGGAACAAGGAACTTTGGACAGCTTCTAGAAATCGCAGGCAGCCTCTAGAACCCGAGAGTGACCTCCAGACAATATCTAGCATGAAGCCGGAGCCCTCAGTCCAAGAGCCAGGAAATGAATTCTCCCAAGCACATGAATGAGGGGGAAGTGGATTTTTCCCCAGTCAAGCCTCCAGACGCAGACACAGCCCAGATGACACCTTGATCCCGAGACATGGGACAGAGGACCCAAGGAAACTATGCCCGGACTCCTGGCCCCCAGCAACCGTGGGATAATGTGTAGAGTTAGCAGCCACTGACTTTGTGGTAATGTCGAAGCAGCGTAGAAAGCTAACATAACACAGAAGCAAACAGTGGGCTGAGGCGAGAAAAACGAATTCTGCGGAGATTCACAGAGGAGGGTGTGTTTGTGCTCACACAGGAAGGGTGGGGGGACGATGTGAATAGGGAGCGGTGGAAAGATGATTGTCCCCTCATCCCTGAGCCCTTCACCCCAAACCCCGAAGCTGAGAGGACTCCAAGGACAAGGATGCCAGCCTGGGACCCCGGAGTTCACTGGAGGCGTGTCCCCCCACCAACCCTGGCCTAGGGCGCCCTGTGTTCATCACTTTGGGCAGAGGAGAGGCAAAGCAGTCCTATTTAGTTTCTTTTTCTAAATAGCTCTCGTCTCTTCTTATGAGTAATATGAGTTCGTTAAAAACCACTTAAAAATACGGATAATTTTTAATTTATTATTTATTTTTTAAAAGATTTTATTTATTTGACAGAGAGAGGCACAGGGAGAGAGGGAACACAAGCGGGGGCAGAGGGAGAGGAAGAAGCAGGCTCCCCGCTGGGTAGGGAGCCCGATACACGGCTCAGTCCCAGGACCCTGGGATCATGACCTAAGCCGAAGGCAGAGGCTTAACGACTGATCGACCCAGGTGCCCCAGATAATTTTTAAAAAGCAAAAATTAAAATTTCGCTGGTGATGTCATGACCCAGGTTTGGGCCTTGTTAACGAGTTGGCTGCTTCCTTCCAGTTCCAGATATCATGAACACGACAGTGTTGTGTGACAGGGACAACCCTCATCCTGGACAGGCCCTATGCTTGGCCTGGGACATTTCTGGGATGAGTAGTAGCAGCTCACCATGCACCTGTGTGCTGGCGCGCGCGCACACACACACACACACACACACACACACATCCCTCAGGCCACTAGGCACACAGTCAATGTTCCCCATCCCCATGCCCTGGGAGGGGACAGTATCAAGTGTGGATCAAATGGAAGGTTAAATTCAAGCCTCCGGGGATGAGTCTCTGGGAATGTAAGAGTGTGGTCAGAAGAGGACCAGTGAGTGTGTGTGTGTGTATACAAGGCCATGTGTACTTATACAGTGTTATGTTGGAGGAGGCTCCCCCTGGCTGCTCAGGACTCATCTTGGAAGCCCACAAACTCTTCATCACTCAGGTGTTCTTGTATATTAACTATCCATGATGTGACCGGAAGCCCTTAATTGTGCTGCCCAAGTGCAGTGCACAGCTTGGATAACTGTACATAGCAGTCCTGTCAGGAGCCCACAGTTGGCCCAGCTGTGGGAAAGGAACCAGCTCTATCTCACGTGTACCTCAATTCCATGTCTGAGGGCAGGAACCAAAAACACTGAGAACCCACTCAAAGCAGGAGAGGAGAATGGAGGTAATGGGATCAGAACAGCCACTGGCTGGCCACCCATTCCGCCCTGGTAAGAAGGGATAAGAAGATTGCAAAATGGGTAAGAACATCCTCTCACCTATCAGCTCAAGGCTGTAATCCTGGGCCTCTGCTTCCCTAAGCTCTGTTCTATTTTCACTTCTCTTTTCTACCCCATTGGCTGCGAGGGTTTAGTGGGGACTTAAGACCGGTTCTCAGGCATCTTCTGGATTTGGTCGTGGGACTGCACAGCCCCCATTGCCTTTGTCCCTCTGCTCACCTCCTCCTGACATTTTCCTGCACTGTCTGATTCATCAGACCCTCTTTGCTCAGCTCGGGAGGCCTCCGGCCTCTGATCGAGGAGGGCCCAGGGTTAGAGAGCCCAGCCGCCCTGTTGCAGGGGCCGTGGGGAACGGGATCCAGCCACCTGGGGCACAGGCCCCCCACAGGCCTGGGAGATGGGCAATGTAATGGATGGGAAGTCCGTGGAGGAGCTGAGCAGCACCGAGTGCCACCAGTGGTACAAGAAGTTCATGACTGAGTGCCCCTCCGGCCAGCTCACCCTCTACGAGTTCCGCCAGTTCTTCGGTCTCAAGAACCTGAGCCCGTCAGCCAGCCAGTATGTGGAGCAGATGTTTGAGACCTTTGACTTCAACAAAGTGAGCGGAGGCCTGGGTGGGGGGCGCTGGAGGACCGGCCAGTGCGGGGCTGGGGTGGGGGGTGCAGGGGCCAGAACATGGCGTCTGCTGGAGGAGGGGGCAGGCCTGTTGGTGTATATGGGGTCCTGTTAGGGGGTCAACGGATCTTATGTTCATTGAGCACCTACTGTGAGTCAGGCACTGGGGGTTCAAAAAGGAACCAGACCCCGTCTGCACCCTCACCTTCCAGGCAAGAACAGAGGGGTCCACAGGTTAGGGTGTCCGGAGGCCCAATCTAATGACTTCCTCTGCCTCGTCCACACGCATGTCTCAGTTTACTCCAGAACGGGTGTGAACACCTACAAGACAGTGGTCGAGCACTTACTAAGTGCTGGGGGCCATACCTGGCGCTTTTGCCTAGGCCCTTAGAGGGTCCAAGAGGAAGGGGAGTGGAGAGGAGAGAGCAGGGTGATAAGCCTCCGGCCCCCGCTGGCCTGGCACAGGCAGGCCCATGTTACATGAGCCGTCCCTGATGCTCTGGGGACAGACCAGGCTGCCTGGTCACTGGGACGTCCAGGCTACGCCCGTCTCCAAAGTGCCCAGTGACCTCAGCTCACCTTCTCTTGAGTGGGTCTGAAGGTCTGCACGGTGGTCAAATGGTATTGTCCCTGAGTCATCAGCGGGACATGGGATGAGGACTTCCTGTCAGCTAGAGGGGGGCATCCGGGGGGCTGGGCACAGTGAGTTAGGGCCCTTGGTTTTCATCAGCTAGGTGGCCGTGCACCCAGCCCCTCTCCCACGGCATCCTTAGCTCAGTACCCGCATCTTTCCCGGATGTTGAGAGCATGAGTTAAGATGCTTGTTAGTTTCTAGAGCAAATCTTTCATTGGTTTGGAGCAATTCAGTCAAGATGCCATGGTAGAAGGACCCCTGGTCTCCCCACCCCATTGGACCCCACCCAGGATGTGCCGAAGCTCTCCCACGTGTCCTCTTCAAGCTGGGGACACGCTGCCCAGAGCTTTCTTGGCCCCCCACCGCCCAGAGGGTTCAAACACCATTGTGGGCAGGGATTCTAAGGACAGATAGGGCTCAGAGGCTATTTAAAACTCACTAATATTTAAGGTCAAGGGGCCAAAGCAGATTATGGGTGTTGAGTCCCAAGCTCAAGGGCAGCATCCTGGAGCCCACAGGCTTTCCTGGAGGGGTTGCTGGGAGCAGAGTGCTGCAGCCCATGGCATGAGCCCAAAAGGGATGGCCTCAGCTTGCTGGGCCCCCCCAATGCTCCCCACAAGAAAGAGTAATTCCTAAACAGGGGGAGGAAAGTAATGGTTGAGCCTCAACGCCTTACACTCAAACACACAGGAGTATCACAGCTTCTCACCTGCTAAGGAAACCCTTAGGATCAAGACATATCTCCAGGAGGACCCCCTAAAATCACATGGATGACACCAGGGAGGGACAACCCTCCAACCCTGTGTTTGCAAGCATCGCTCCCTCTGTCCCAGACCTGACTTTCTTGATTACACCATGCACACCTTCACTTTAGGGCCTTTCTGATGCCTGGGACCCTCTTCCTCCAAAATTCTGCTTGGCTCACACCTTCCCCCACTACAAGTCTCTGCCTAGAAGTCTCCTTCCCGCTGACACCTGCCCCGATTTCCTGGTTGAAACCCTGTTTAACTGGGGCTAGCCGCTACCCTTGCATTTCCTGTCCCACCTCCCCCCACTACCCCCAGCACGTCTCATCTTCTAAGACGTGCTGAATAACACTTAGCCACTATGTTTGCTGTCTGTCTCCCCCACTGGAATGTGAACTCCAGGAGGACAGAGATTTTTGTCTGTCTGGTTCAGTGCTGTGTCCCTAGCACTTAGAACGATGCCTGGACGAGGGTAGGGGCTTAACGAGTATTTGTTATCTGAGAAATCATGAGTTCTTTGTGCGAATTCTGTGTTTTCTAATACACATGAACTTAAACACATAATTATTAAAACGAAGAGTATCTTTGTAACATTTAAAGGACCTCACATACACCAACGGTGTAAATCCCACTTTGGGCACTATTGCCGTCTACCCATTGTCACGAGCACAGAGCGGCCTAGCAGGTCAGCGGAGAGATGGGACAATGGAGCGGGAAGTTCAATGGGTCTGTGCAAACGATGGCCCGTGGGCTTATTTTTATAAGTGAAGCTTCAATAGAACACACCACGCCCACTTGTTTACACATCACCCAGACTGAAATATTTGTGATCTGGTCATTTACAGAAAAGGTTAGCCAGCCCGCCCCTGAGTTGATAGGCAGCTAGATCCTGTGGACTGTGCTGGAAGGGCAAGGTTGAGGGAAGCAGAAGCTTGCGTGGGGAGTGTGCCCCGGGGGGAAGGGGGAGATAATCGCCTACTTTGCTTGCTTCAAAGCTTTGCCTGGGCTTGGCCGTGCCCAGCACTCACACAGGTGCACACATTTCGATGTAAATCTTCACCCCTGCCTCTGAGGCCCGGTGGGGTTTAGGCCACCCAGCTTCTAGCCAAGGCTCACTCATTCACTGGTTGTGAGGTCTAATTCCTCTTCACAACAGCTTTCCTCCGAAAATGGGGACCAAAATCCCACCTCCCAAGGGGTGGTCATGAGATTAAAGGAGGAAAGCAAATAAAACACTGAGCGAGAGGCGCTAGAAAGAAGTTAGCGTCGTTGTGGTATCATTACGGAATCTCACCCAAACTGAGGTCTTGAAAAGCAGGCCCTGTCATTCCCAGTGTCCAGCTGCGGAACCGAGACTCAGAGAGGCCCCGTGACTTGTCCAAGGCCGCACTCTCCTAAGACATCAATTAGATCTTTCTGGCACAAGAACCCATACTTTTCCATTGCTCCTTTTTTGCCATTTAAAAAAAAAAAAACTATGAAAGTAATTTTTTAAATTACTCACTGTAATTATGTGAAAGCTCACTGTACACATTTCCTACAGTAGAGAGAGATGAAAAATGAAAAACCAAAGTGTCCTTGTTCCATGTCCTCTTACCCAGGGGAGACCTCCTTGGCCGTTTTTCTCGCTTCTCTGAGCATTGTGGCAAGGGAGGCCTTGCTCTGTTCTGAGGACAGCCCCGGGCATGGGTCGGACAAGGAGGGAATGAGCTAAGGCTTATGTGAAAGCCTGTGAATACAGGGAAGCACCACACGAATGTTCACTATGATCTCAGCACCCACTGTGGGGCTCCGGCTCATCAAGGCCTCACCTGAGGCCTGGGGCGGGGGGCACAGAGCCAGACCTCAGAGGCCATCCTGCCCAGCCTCTGCCACATCTTTAATGACAGTGCTCCAGCCTCTGCTTGCATGCTTTCAGTGATGGGGAGCTCATTACTGCACCAGGCTGGCCCATTTGCCAGCGGCAAATCTGCCTGTTAAGAGGTCTTCCTTCTGACCCCAAACGTGCCTCTGGGTAACTTCCCGGTTCCAGAGCCGGGGTTGTGAGTAAGTGGAGGAACAGGGGCTGAACTCCAAATTCACATGCTGAGCCTGTGCTCCTTAGGAGGGCTCAGCCTTTCTGTAAAGCACAGACTTCCCTCTCCCGGCCTCACTCGGGGGCGAGATGGGCAGAGGCAGGCCTATGTTCCCCACTTTCCTGACCCCCCCCTGGTGGGGCTGGCAGGGTCAGACAGTGGGTCAGCCTGTGAAATTTGGGGGACCCTGGAGAAATATCCCCCAGGCATGTCTTGTGACACCTTCTTGCACGGTCAACCCCTCTCAGACTCAAGAGGGCATCAATTTTCCCAGGAAGCCTCCTTGAGCCTCTCCTCTGGCCTCTGTCCTGGCAGAGCTGGGTGATCTTGTTCTAGGATTCCATAATGTCCCGTCCAGATGTGCTGTCACTATATTTCATCACAACAGCATACTGGTCTCTCTCTCTCTCTCTTTTAAGATTTTTAATTCATTTATTTGACAAAGAGAGAACGCAAGTAGGCAGAGCTGTAGGCAGAGGGAGGGGGAGAAGCAGGCTCCCCGCTGAGCAGAGAGCCAGATGCGGGACCTGATCCCACAATGCTGGGATCATGACTCAAGCTGAAGGTGGGGGTTTTATCGACTGAGCCACCCTGGTGCCCTAATGCTCTCTTTATAGAAACAATTCTAGTACGTGTAGTAAGGGTTACCATTTCCTCAGTGTTTATTGTACGTCAGGCATTGTTGAGTGCTTTAGACATATAAACTCACCCACTCCCACCGCAATCCCACAGAGGTAGGTACTATTAGAACTGTTATGGATGAGGAAATGGAGGGCCAGAAACACTGAGTGCTTGTCCCAGATCCCACAGCTTTGAGAGGGTGAAGGCAAGATTCAAACCTGCATCCCAGTACTGCACTCCCATCAGGACCAGGCTCATATCTTACTGAGTTCTGAGGCCTCTATCACTGAGCATAGTAGGTGCTCAGTAAATTTTGAAGAATAAAGGGAAGAATAAGACAGATGCTCCGTCCTCCCTATCTACCACCTGCCCTCTCCCCAGCTCCAAAGACCACAACTTACCCTGGCGGTTCATTCCTCTTCCTTCACCAACACCTCTTGCAACTGGAAGGGCTCCAGTTGGAGAATCACAGGGGAGCAGCCAGTGACCGCTGGCACCAAAGTGCCAGTAAAGAGAGAACACCACCATTTACATCTGGGAGATGGGTGGTTTACCAAAGCTGCTGGCAGCCTCTGGGGCAGGCTTGGTGGGCTGCCTGGAGGCGGGGACAGAAGCGGCAGGACTGGAGCAGAAAGGGCATGGGGAGCGACCTGGGCTTGGCCTTCCTGGGGCCTCTGGAGATCCGGCTCAAGCAGCTGTGCCTCTCGCCCAGGACGGCTACATCGACTTCATGGAGTACGTGGCTGCGCTCAGCCTCGTCCTCAAGGGGAAGGTGGAACAGAAGCTGCGCTGGTACTTCAAGCTCTACGACGTCGATGGCAACGGATGCATCGACCGCGATGAGCTGCTCACCATCATCCGGGTAACTCCAGGTGCAGAGGGCCGGGCTGGGGCGGGGGCAGCGGCGGGGCCCACCAGAGCCGACAGGCAGCCTGGGGGCCGGCAGGCGCGATGGGTCTTCAGAAGGAAGAACTGTAGTCTCCGAAGGGGGCTGGGTTGGGACTGAGCGTCCGGCTCCCGGCTGGGGGTAGGGGGAGCAGTGGGGGTGGGATGGGTAGCGTGACCCGGGCCGCAGGCCGTCCACCCTCTGGGCCTCTATTTTTCTATCTGCACGGAGACAAGCTCTTAAACCCCAGTGCTGCCTCTAGTGCCCAGTCTGTTGCTCTGACACTATTGAGGCTGAGCTAGGATGGGTCCTCTCACTTCTCCCCAGGCCATCCGAGCCATTAACCCCTGCAGCGACTCCACCATGAGTGCCGAAGAGTTCACCAATACAGTGTTCTCAAAGATTGATGTCAACGGGGATGGTGAGGAGTCTGGGATGGGGACCGCTGTGGGGGGTGGGGGGCGTGGGAGAGGGGCGGGGCCTCTGCTGGCCGCATCCTCCATCTGCCCCTGCCCCAGGCATGAGTTGGATTTTAGGGACAACTGGACCAGACTTTGGGCTCTGGCTCCTTTAGCCGCTCCCTTCACAACCTCGCTTCCCCTAGCATTGGCTCTGCCCCACTCCATGCTACCAGGAAGGGGGGAGCACCCTCCTCCCCCTGACTCCCTTTCTCTGTATGCCAGGGGAACTGTCCCTGGAGGAGTTCATCGAGGGCGTCCAGAAGGACCAGATGCTCCTGGACACGTTGACACGGAGCCTGGACCTCACCCGCATCGTGCGCAGGCTCCAGAACCGCGAGGAGGAGGAGGGTGGGGAGGGGGCAGGCGGTGGGGAGCCTGAGGCAGCCGGCTGAGCCCACCGCTGGGCTGATTCTGTACTGGGGAGGGGTCGTGTGATGGTGCCTAAGGTCGTCACTGTAATACTAGATGTGGTCTGCTGAACTCAAAGGCTCAGCTCCCCTCTTTGGGGTGTGGGATGGGTGGGCCAGAAGGGCAGAGGTGGGAGTCCGGAAGGATGGTTCCTGAACCCTGTACATGACTCAGCTGGTGGTGACTGTCCCTCCTGGGGGACCCTCAGGGACCTCCCCCAGCTTTTCCCCACTGAGATGCTCCAGTCCCCCTATTTCGGAGCTGGGCTTTCAGGGACCCTGATGGAATCCTACAGATCGGGTGCTGCAATCACACACCCGACCTGCACCCCAGCACCCCGAGCCTACTTGTGTGGTGTGTTGATTTATTCCTCCCTTCTGCAAGCGTTTATCACACACCTCCTTTGTAGGAACGCTAGATGTTGGACACGCCAAGAAGAGGATCCCTAAGGAACTAACAGGCTAAGCATTAGTATAATAAAATACGGGAAGAGAAGCTAGGATACTACAGAAAGTCCTTATTTATCCAGAGGAACTCCGTCTTTGTTCAGAAGTGACTGCACAGCACCCTGACTTCCCGCACTGGCCCATCCCGCAGTTCTGTGACTCACTGCCTGTGGCAAGTGTCCTGACCATCCCTCCCGGGTCTAACTTAAATCCCTCTTGCTGCAGTGATACCTGACACCAGTTGGGAAGTGGGGCAGGCAGTTAGTTACAAGCGGGCCCCATTCCCATTTTTTTGCATGCCCCGGCTTTGGGAATACCTCTCCAAGAACATGGGGAGAGACACAGGCTGGAGCAAGCTGGCCTCATTTTTGCAAAGATGCTCCTTCTGGGCTTTGAGTCTTCACTTCTGCTGGGTGTGGGGGAAGGACAAGGAGTGAATAAAAATCCAAGGGTAGGAGAGAGAAAACAAGGGGCAAGAGGAATGAAGCTCCAGCTTGCTGAGAGGCACCCTCTCACCGTGGGGAGGGGGTTGGGGAAGAGAGGGTCCTACCAGTAATCACTGGGACCACCTCAGGCTGGTAAGTCAGCCAAAACCTGAGCACAGACCTGGCGGGAAGGTGGAGATCAATGCCAGGGGCAGCCTGGAAGAAAAGGGAGTTGACATTTCCACACCTTCTCTTGGTGGCTGCCTCTTGGGAAATCCTGAAGGTGGGAGGTGGGAGGGTATTTGAACAGAATTAGGACATTTCCCCAACGTCAGGCCCACACCACCTTCCTGATGTTTGGGCTGATCTGTGTCCACCTGGATTACTATTTTTTTTTTTTTAAGATTAAAAAAGTAATTTATTTGACAGAGAGACAGAGATCACAAGTAGGCAGAGAGGCAGGCAGAGAGAGAGGGGGAAGCAGGCTCCCCACTGAGCAGAGAGCCCAATGTGGGGCTCGATCCCAGAACCCTGAGATCATGACCTGAGCCAAAGGCAGAGGCTTAACCCACTGAGCCACCTACTATTTTAGTAGTAGGTGCCCCTACTATTTTTTTTTTAAGGTTTTATTTATTTATTTCACAGACAGAGATCACAAGTCAGAGATCACAAGTAGGCAGAGAGGCAGTCAGAGGGCGGGGGAAGCAGGCTCCCTGCCCAGCAGAGAGCCCCATGCGTGGCAGGATCATGACCTGAGCGGAAGGCAGAGGCTTAACGACTGAGCCACCCAGGCGCCCCTAAAGGAAACTTTATATGAATATCATGCCTACGAAACTGCAGTTCAGTAGGTGAGTTTTATTTTTCATCCATCAACATAAAAACACATCTCTTCAAAGAAGTTCCTGTTCTGAGTTCCTCACTGCCCCCCCACCCAGTTTAACAAGAACGACTCCCTTTAAATCTAGTTTGTACACTGGGGCTACACATAGAGTTGTATGACAATATAACTTCACATCTAAAAAAAATAATAATAAAAAAACCTCCTGGTTTGTCCAACTTGCTCAGTGCGCAGAGACGATAATTGAGGTTAGAGAGAGAGAAATGGCCATCTTGGGTCAATGGGAGAGGCAGGTGTGGGATGAGGGGCAGGGAGGGGGAGAGGAGGTTTGTGTGGGGGTGTGGCCGGAGGAACTGCACGGGCCAGAGCTGAAACAGCGGATCCCTCTGAGGACAGAGGGCCGGGAGACCAGCGCCTTACTGGCTGCAATTTTCCCTTGCGGACACCCCTGGTGAAGACAAGTTGGGAGGGGGAGGCGAGAGACCTCCCCGTGAACTCCTCAGGATCCAGGACTCACGCCCCAAGTCCTATTTTTTCTTCAGATGCGACCCCTTCCAGTCCCCGGCTTCCCACTGTGGGGGCAGTCTAGGGGACCCCATCCCTCAGTATTCCCCTGCTTCCAGGTAGGAACCAGGTAGGAAATTGTGAACGCCCCACAACCACCCAGCGGAAGCATACTTTCCCCAGAAGCAGCTGAAAGGAGAGAGGAAGCCGGTTCCCTTCGCCACCCGGGTAAATCCTGCCCTCGGACTGTGTCCTGTCAGCCACTTCAGGCCAAGAGCCCCTAGCCACCCGCCTCAGCCCAGTCCCTTTCATAGGGGAGCCAGATAAGAGTGGGCGCAAGCAGGCTGAGCCAGGGACCCTCTCGCTCTTTGGGAAACCTGGTGAGCCTGGAATCCTGGAGGGGCCTGTGGACACATACTGGGCTCCCAGGACCCCCAAATCCTCAGAACATGGCACTTTTCCGCCTCTGCTGAGAGATCCAGCCACTGGGGTTCACGTCCATCTGCAGCATCTTCATCACCCACTTGTCCCGACGGGCACCTTCCATGAACTCGTTCAGAGACAGCTGGCCTAAGCGAGGGGTAGGAGAGATGGTGGTGTGAGAGCGTGAGGAAATGGGGCTGGGGGCAAGAGGAGAGGCCTCCACTAGCAGGGGGCAGCCTCTTAGACAAGCTACACCTCTTACACAAATGAGCCTGAAGTCTGGGGCCCACCAGGCCGGTTAATTCTCCCTTCTCCCAGAGTCTCCTGGAAGCTTCCAGGATTCCTTAAAGGGACTGGCTTTGCAAACGAATTTGTGTTTACTTTGGCCCCTTCAAAATGCTCCTGAGGGCTCTTCTGGGTGTGTTCCCAGTCAGCCGGGGGTGTCAAGCCACAGGGCAGAGGGCCTCAGTAGCCTGAATGGGGGCCTACCCCATGCCTTTCTCTCAAATACCTCCCCTCATTGATTCCTCGGAATTACTATTCTCCCCATTTTCCAGATGAGGAAACTGAGTCCAGGCCGAGTGGGGAAATGGCTTGCCTGACTCCTGAGCTCCTACTCTTTCACAGCGCTCTGCCCAGCTTCCATCAGCGGCTCCAGTGGGAGCGTCCATCCCTCTTTCCAACCTCACGAGCCAGTGACACCCCTGTTACGTCATGTCCTCCTCTCTGCCCACAGCTCACAGATGAGGAAACCGTGGCTGGGAGGTGGAGGGCCTGGGGGTGCTGTGGAGTGGGCCACCCCCCACCTCTGCTCCCCATTACCGTCTCCATTCTCATCCAACAGAAGGAAGATTCTGTCCACCACCTCCTCGGGGGTGAGCATCTGTCCCTGCCGCTCACACTCCATCTCCACCCTGCAGGCTTTCTTCAGCTTGTAGATCGCCTGTGGGAGAAAACCAGGCTGTGGGCCTCCCCACCCCCCATACCACCCTGAGAGCTTGCGTGCTCCCTCCCTCTTGCTGCCAGGACCCCAGGCCTTCAAGCCCTGCATCCCCAGCACTGTCCACCTTCCGCCGCCAGCTGGTGCATCTTAGGCCCACAGGACCCAGACCCTAATAAAAACTGACCCGGCCTAGGGCCTAGTTCCACTGCGTGTCAGGCCTCACAGGCTCCCTCAGCCTGATGCCAGTGGCTTTTCCCCTGTGAGCATCTGAGTGAACCCCAAACCCTTCAGTGAGGGAGGTACCATGCTCTGTGGTGGTCTCAACTCCACTTGACACACAGGGAGAGCCCGAGAGGAGAAGAGCATGGAGTGTACTTATGGGCGTGTGTGTAACATAGGATGATGGGAGATACTGGGGTTTGGACTGGAGGGAAAAACAGGTTTCTCCTTTTCCCTGTGTCCCCTCCCTGTGAGGCACCATTGGTGAAGGGAAGTGGTGAAGACACAGAGACATGTGAAGGTTTTCCTCAGTTCCCTGACGGGGCACTCTGCCGACAGAGGCCTGTCTTGTCCATCCTAGGGTCTCATAGCCCAGCGTAGCACATGAGACACGGTGGGCCCCACAGACAGGGTCTGGGAACCCCGGAGCTACAGCCAGCCCCAGCACCCTCCTGGGAGGGATGAACTTGGGCAAACCACAGAACTACCCCGAGGGGACTCCTTTGTCTCTGACCTGGGTGGACAAGCCCCACTTGGGAGTACAGTTCTGGGGAGGAGCAGGCTGATCCGGTCCAATGTCAGTCCGAATTATACTAGGGACGGTTTCCTCCTTGCTCATTCTTGCTGTCAGTGTGGTTCATCGTGCAAAGAACCAGCTTTTGGTTTTGTTGACTTTTCTTCTCTATGCGTTTGTTTCCTATTTCATTCATTTCTGCTCTTTAGTATTTCCCTTCTTCTACTCTCTGGGTTTAATTTACTCTTCTTTTTTCTCATTTCTTTTCTTTTTTTTTTTTTTAAGATTTTATTTATTCTTTTATCAGTGAGAGAGAGAATGAGCAGGGGGAGGGACAGAGGGAGAGGGAGAGGGAGAGGGAGAGGCAGAACCCCCACTGAGCAGGGAGCTGGTTGTGGGCCAAGGATCATGACCTGAGCCCAAGGCAAACTCTTAACCACCTGAGCCACCCATGAGCCCCTGTTTCTTTTCTCATTTCCTGAGATGACTTCTAAGATCATTGATCTCCAGCCTCTCATTTTCTGGCGTATACAGTTTAGGGCTAAAAAGCCTCTGCCAGCCTAGTGTTGGCGACATTTCCCAGTTTTGTTGTTACGTGTGCATTATCACCCCATTCAAAACACTTGGTGTGCCTAGGTGTGATAGAATTTCTCTGATTTCTGGACTGTCTGGGAGTGTGTGGCCTTATTTCCAAACAGATGGGGATTTTTTTAGGTATCTTTTTGTAATTGATTTCTAGCCTAACTCTGAGATGGGAAAGCACCCTCTGATTGATTCCAGTGCTACTCCCCGCCTCCAGCCCCCCGTCCCCCCGCCCCCAGATGCAGGGGCCCCTCTCACCTCCACAATGTCGAGCAGCTCCCGGCGGTCGATGCGGCCATTGCAGTCCTTGTCGTAGATCTTGAAGGTCCACTTGAGCTTGTGCTCCAGGGTGCCCCTCAGCACGAGGTTCAGGGCTGCCACATACTCCAAGAAGTCGATGGTGTTGTCCTGCGGTGGGAGTGGGAACGCGAGCTGTGAGGCCCGTCCCACCTTCCCCTGAGTGCAGAGGTGGTCCGATTCTGGCTGGTCCATCCCCACACACTCGGGGCTTGGCCTCCAGCCATCCTCCTGGCCTCTACAGCTTCGCTCATGGGTGTTCTCCAGCCCAGCATCCTTGCCTGATCGGGTATCTCCCCATACTACCCACCCCGCCAGGCCCAGCTCAAGGGTCGCCTCCTCTAGGAAGCCTTCCTTCTCCGACCACTTCAGCGTAGTGGTCTCTCTCACTCCCTCTTCTAGCATTCAGGGCCCCTCTACTCAGTTCCGCGCAGTTCGGGTCTCACTCTGGGGCCTCACTTAGCCGTTGCGTGTGTGTGTCTCATTTTCTAGCTGTATCATAAGGTCCTGGAGAAACAAGGGGCTTTCAGGGCCTTTGTCTCTCCTTTGTGCTTCGCACAGCGCCACTTCCGTGCAGTCAGGTCTTAGGAATATGTATGAATCCACAAATACATGACTGACTTAATTTCAATTTGGGTCTAAGGCAGTTCTGGAAGATTAGAAAGCCACGCTCACACTAAAAATGTCCTTTGTCCTTTCATTCACTCTGAGCCCGAGGGAAGGCAGACAGGCCTTGGCTCCAGCTCTGTTGTGGTCTAGGCTCAGATGGGTGTTACCCTTCCTGCAGGACAGGCCTCCTCCACCCGCACCCAGGAAGGGGCAAGGGGAGTCAGGACTCAGCGACTAACCGCCCAGAGGGAAGGGGGGCACACGGTCTGCCTCTGGGGTGACTCTGCCCAGGTCACCAAAACTCCTATCAAGAATGTGGTGACAATGATTCCAAAAGCAGCAAACGAGGCAGGGAGCACTTGCTTCTTGTTCTTCTAGGCCGATTGAGTTGGAGGTGAGAGGCTGCTGCTGGTGGTGTCTGCAGGGGGCTGGTCAGGCTGAGTTTTACAAGGTGCTCCCACTTGCAGGAGCTCCTGCTTCTGAGGCGGAGACCTCAGCTCTCCAAAGCCAGAACCCAAGTCATCACTCTCCCAGAAGTGGCTGTCAGGCACAGGGCTTTGGAAATGACATCACTGGCCCTGAGCACCCCTGTCCCACTGGGCCTTGCCACTTGGGAGCCCTACCCCCAGATCAAGGGGCGCTTGGGCGAGCAAGGTGTGAGCCACAGAACACGACAGAATATGAGGCAACCAGAGAAAAGCCTACTGACAAACCAAGAAGGAAACGAAAGAAGCCCACCTTAACACCCCAAGTGTCTTACTCATCACCTTTTATGGGATGATTTCTGGTCCCCCCACCTCCCACGCTGTATTTCTCTAATTGAGGTCAGACTGGAGCTATGGTTTTATCTCCTGGATTTTCATTTTAAAATGCCCCATGTCTTTAAAATTATTTGAAATCATTTTATTTTTTTGAGGGGTACTCTGCAGTCCCTCTTGCTGAATTATGCAACGACCGTCTTTGTGTATAGGTATGCTTTCTTAAATAGCTGGTAACTTTTTTAGGGTGGATTCTTAGCAATGGTTGTTTTTGTCTCATTTTTCACTAGTCTTTAATGCACCTTGTGTATAAGTCTGCCATTTGAGATTTTGTCATATGTGTAAGACAGGTGTAACTCAACCCGAGGACTTTGTCTTGAGTTACTAGTCACATCCTTCTTCCAACTGTAACCCTCAGTGGCCGCTGAGCTGGTCCCCAGCACTACAGTATCTTCACTTGGAGAATGGTATACACATGGGGTCACAGTGTGTAGCTTCAAGACTGGCCGCTTTTACTCAGCACGATGCCCTGGAGAACCACCCAAGCTGCTGAGTGCATCAACGCTTCCTTCTCGCCGTTCTCCTCACTCACCGAAGGTTATCTGGCTTGTTTCCATACACCCTCCCCAAGCTTTACTGAGGTATAATTGCAGATATAGCCTTTTAGAGAATGTTGTGTGAGTTTAAGGTGTACAATGCAATGATTGAGTTGTTCTTTCTTTTTTTTTTTTTTAAGATTTTTATTTATTTATTTGACAGAGATCACAAGTAGGCAGAGAGGAAGGCAGAGAGAGAGGAGGAAGCAGGCTCCCTGCTGAGCAGAGAGCCCGATGCGGGGCTCGATCCCAGGACACTGGGATCATGACCTGAGCTGAAGACAGAGGCTTTAACCCACTGAGCCACCCAGGCGCCCCTGAGTTGTTCTTTCAAAGGCTATTTTCATTAGTAATTGTGTATTAAGCGTACTGAACATCAATCTTATGTTTCTTTTTTAATAAGAGTAGAAAAAATGTATGTAAAATGGCAGGTAGGAACCATCTACGTCACATACGCTGTCCCCCTTGGGTTTGTTATACCCACTTTATGGATGAGGAAGCTGAGGCTCAGAGGTTAAATAAGTTGCCCAAGGAAAACCCACCTAGGACACTTCCTTTCAAGAGCCTTTCAAGCTACAGATCTTCTCTAGTTCAAGCTAGAGAACTTTCCTTCTCCTCTCTAGAGTCTAATAGTCTCTTAGAGTCTAATAGACTCTAAGGTCTATTACGGTCTGAAAAATGAGCCTCATATCTAGCACCACAGAGAGAAAAACAAACCAGCAAAAACGACTGACAAATCCTTACTCTCCAGACCTATAGATTCTCCCACATTCTTTGTCTAGAACATTCTGTTCTCACAGCATCCTAAACTCAGCATGCTATGGTTTCCACAATGAGCCCTTGCATCCTATGAGGCACACCATAGAGTGGTCATTCCTGTGGGGTGACCTCACTTGTAATGTTGCTTCAGCCCCAGGATGAGTCCTGGGAAGCTCCCAGAGAGGACTAATCTCATCCTGTGTGCCCGGCCCTCGTCAGCTTCAATTACCCACAGGGGCAACGGGAAGATGATGGGAATAAATGCTTCTGTCGACTCAAGAGCAGGAGCAGAAGTGACAGGCGTGTGATCTACTCTGTGGGATTAGCTGCCCCATTTCTCCCCGATTTGGCCGCATTTGCGCACCAGCCCTGACCCTACCTCAGGTTACATAAGGATCCCGAATGACATTTGATTTCACCCACCCTTTTTTTCCATCCCAGTGCATCACAGGGCAACCGCTGGAGAGAAGAGTGTTACAGGGAGGGGAGTGGCAGAGACAGGCACTCCGACCTCCTCGCCTCCTCCAGACCCCCATTTCTATACCCCCTGGAATTGACGTGTGAGCTAGATCTATGACCTCTCGATCTTATTTGCCTCAGAGAGTTCAGACCAATTGCCCAGAAATGAGACTCACTAATGTAAGAACTGTGCCAATGCGGGGAGTGAAGATGGGTGTGGATTTGGAGACAGAAACTAAGTGGGAAAAGAAAAGAAGGAGGGGCTCCATCCCTGACAGAGGAATCTAACAAACGTCTAGGAAAGCTCTTCCTTAGTAGTAGAATTCCAATTCATAAACAAAGAAGGGATGGTAGGATTATCGATGGGGGCACCTGGGTGGCTCAGTCGGCTAAAATGTCTGCCTTTGGCTCTGGTCCTGATCCCAGGGTCCTGGGACTGAGCATCACATAGGGGCTCCCTGCTGGGCAGGAAATCTGCTTCTTCTACCTGCCGCTCCCCCTGCTTGTGCCCTCTCTCTGTCAAATAAATAAATAAAATCTTAAAAAAAAAAGAAAGAAAATTATGGATGGATGCCAAATTTAGGAGATGAAAATCTGGGGGAGCCATAGGATATTCACATAGTCTCAAAGTATCTTCCTGTAAAATGCTTGTTAATTACAGAGGAAAAATGGTAACTTTACAGTGGAGGAAATTGGCAGATACCATGTAACCAAATGATGGAAGTTAACCACTCAGCAATGGGACAGACCAACAACATAGGCCCCTGACATATGAGAAGGACGTGATATCACCTCTGGGACACCCGTACCAGAAACAGAAAACCTGAAACTAATCACAAAGCTACACTGAACAAACCCAAAGTGTGAGACGTTCTACAAAATTAATGGGCCTGCAATCTTCAAAAGTGTCAGGGTCAAATAAAACAAAGAAAAGCTGAGATTAAAGATTCTGAATTAGAGGCTAAAAAGACAGGACAAGTGAATGCAATGTGTGATCAAACCAAAAAAAAGAAAGAAAGAAAGGAAAGCAAGCAAGGAAGCTATAAAGAACACATCACATGTCAATTTGACAAAACTTGAATATGGATTAGCTCATGGAATTGGGTCAATGTGGAATTTCCTGATTAAAAAAAGATTTATTTATTTATTTGAGAGAAAGAGAGAGAGAGAGAGCATGAGCAGAGGGAGAGGGAGAGAGAAACTGAAGCAGACTGCACGCGCAGCACAGAGCCCGACGCAGGCCTCCTTCTCACCACCCTGAGATCATGACCTGAGCAGAGACCAAGAGTTGGACACTTAAATGAGTGCACCACCCAAGTGCCCTTGAATTTCCCAAGTTTGATCTTTGCATTAGGTAATTTAAGGGAACCTCCTTGTTCTTAGGAAAAACACACTGAAATACTTAGTGGTAAAAGGGCATGATGTCTCCAACTTTCTCTAAAAGAGAGGGACACACACACACACAAAGCAAATGAGGCAAAATGTAAACAACTGGGTAAACTGTGCATGGGAGTCACTTACACTGTTCTTCCAACTTGGTACAAATTAGAAATCCTATCAAAATAAAAGTTATAGGGGTGCCTGGATGGCTCAGTCGGTTAAGCATCTGCCTTCGGCTCAGGTCATGATCTGGGGGTCCTGGGATTGAGCCCCGCATCAGACACCCTGCTCAGCGGAAGTCTGCTTCTGCCTCTCCCTCTTCCTCTCTTCCTGTTTGTGCTCTTTCTCTCTCTGTCTCAGATAAATCAATAAAATCTTTTTAAAAAGTTATAATGATAGGAAAAAAGCAATCGATGCCTATCATGTGCTAATTTGTAAGAAGAGATGAAGTAGCTATAAGGGGTACAGCTATATTACGCCCATGAACTTGACAATCCCTTTTTGATCTAGAGCTGTTGTTGAACTGAATTTTTAGTTGTAGATGGGGAAGACTGATATATTTATAGTAGTAAGTCTTGTCACGTATGACCTGTTTTGTTAAAAATAATTTTCTCTTTCTCAAAACAAAACAACACAAAACGACAAAACCAAAACAAACTGCCTTCTGAGCAGGCACATTGATGGGGAGTCAGGACCCTTCAGCCTATGATCTTGGCCAAACCGGTTCACTTCCTTTTGTCCTGGTTGTGTTGTCATTTAATTTGGATGATGAAGTGGGCTGCGGTGGGCTTGGACGGGGGAGCTTGGAGAAGTGTGAAACTCTGTCTGTGAGGGAGTTCATAGGGTTCATCTCCAAGGAGGTTTCTGTTGCCCTGAGGACGCTCACTGTACCCTCCCATGCCCCTGACAGGTGCTGACTGGTCCCGGGGCCAAGGTCAGCCCTGAAGGGCATTGCCAGCGACTCAGCCTAGAGAGTGAAGCTCTCCATGCATGGAAAAGCAGGGTATAGCGGCTTTCTCCAGATCAGTTATCTAGGCCCAATAGCCACCCCTCAATTTGGGGGGCGGAAATAGTACTTGAGGCAAGTCTAACGATCTGAAGGATCACGGAGGCAACGGATGGACGAGCTTCAATAATGAAGGGGTTTCCGTTTCTAAGTTCCATCTCCAGGGGCACACTTAAAAAACAGAGCATCTTCTCAGCTGCAGGTACCACTGGGGGCCTTACAGAAATCCTGTGGTTGGATAATTTCATGGACTCTTCCCTGACTTGGAGACTTGTAAGGGACTTTTGCATCATCCATCCAGTTGCCCCATCAGCCCAGGAGGTCCCTCCAGCACGCTGGGCGGGAAGACCTGACTGGTCTCAACACCAATGACCCCAATGAGGGGGAGCACACCGTCTATACCAAGCTAGCTCAGCCCTTTGGGACAGCTCTTGAGCTCCTTAACTTTAGAGTGACAGGGGCTCTGGTGTGTGTGAAAAACCAAGCCCTAAGGCTGTACAGCCTTGGTCAAAAACACTCAGATTGCAGACTGACCTTTGTGCCTTTCTGCCCGGCTTGCCTTCAGCTCTCTGAAGGAGGAGAGGGTGAGTCAGGAAGAGTAGAGAGGCAGAGGAGAGAAGGTAAGACAGAGAGGAGGGAAGGAAAGATGGGAAGGGACAGACGATGGGAAGTGAGGAGAGTGTGGGGGAAAGAGAGAGAGAGAACAGGTGAGCAGGGATTGGAGAGAACAGCTGGGGACGGGGTACTCCCTCCCACAGGGGTGCTCCTTCGGCTCAAAGGGACATGAGCCAGGCAGGCTGGCCGCCATCCTCCCTTCAGTGCCTCCTTACCCCATTCTTGTCGAAGGCTCGGAACATGCCCTCTACAAACTCGGTGGCCTCCTCGTTGCCTGTGACCTTGAAGAAGCACTTAAACTCGTGCATGAAGAGGGAGCCGCTGGGGCACTCCACCACGAACTTCCTGTACCACTCCTGAAGCTGAGCCACATCCATCTCACCAGCCGCCTCCGCCTCCTCCCAGCTGAACTGCTGCCCCATCTTGGCCTGGGGGAATGTCAGGGAGCCAGGCTCTGTGCAGCCTCCTGGGCTGCTGCTGATCGATGCCTTAGGAAAGGGTCCCCTTCCTGCCTCTCCTCTGCTCAGCCAGCCTCTTTCCTCATCTCCTGGCTACTGAACACGATGGGTGGTGTAGGGCAGGTGGCAGGGGGGTGGGACCAGGCCTGCTCAGCACCCTAAGATCATTAGAAGATTCCTCTGGAAGGTCTAACCTCCAGTCAGCTAAGCTCCCCCAGCCTCACCCCTCCTTTCCGTCTTGTCAATCATGCAACTCAGCCAGATTCTGAAGGGGGGAGACGGGCAGGAAACCGACACCCCCTCCGCCTCACACACGCTCCCTGTTCCTTTAGTTGGGCACCACGCTGCTCCAGAGAGGCCCAACTTGGAGATACAGGAGACTCTGAAGGCTGGAGAGGGAGCAAGACCAACTCCTAGCCCACAAGACAGAACCTACTGGCGATCTGGGGCTCACTCTTCCCCACAGTCCAGTGAGAAGTAGCAGAATCTGTGACGTGAAGGTCCCCAAGCTCAGTCCTAGCAAGCCACACCCTTGAGTCTAGGAAATTTTCCATTTTCTAATTTAAAGGACAAATTCTTCCCTCTAACACCCTTCACCCAAAACCTAGAGAAAGGGTCTCTCCTACTTTCTTTCCAAGTGTGAGTACATGAGAAGAATCTGGGAGCATGGCTTAAAATATCTCTAAGTCTCTTCTTGTTTTTATATTAAATGTCCTGCAAATTTGTTTTCCAATTAATTATATATTTGTGCTTATTTTAATGTAATATTAAAATGACACCTCGAAGAAACCAGAAGATTTGATGCACTTTTCCAGGTTCTAGGAGCAGTCGTTCGTTCCCATGAATCTCATCATCTCAGGGGTAACACCGCTGTCTACCGCTGGCTATCCATTCCTGAACTGTTGTCTACACCTCCAGGCCTCACCCCCTCTCTCACATAACCCCCTGCTTCTGTACTTCCCTAATCTCTTGACGTTCTCCTAAGTCCTTGCCCTTCCTGAAGTAGGAGCTCCATTTCCTGTCATCCTTTCAGGCACTCAGGGATTTTTCATCTCACCCATGTCCCTTGGGGTCAGGAGAGTAGGGCTAGTCGCCTCCCTACTTGTTGCCTCCACCTTTTCTCTTTTTTGCCTCAAAACTGCTAGTCCCTTTGAAGCCATGTCCGACTCAACCCACTTACCATCACTCACTGGTGTCTCCCCTGGACACGGAAGTCACAAGCTGCTTTGAGACAAACCTCAAACCTTCCGCTCACTCCCATGTCCATCTGATGACCTTGTCACAAACTTCATTGCAGACGGGACTAGCTGCATCACAGGAACACTTCATCTTCCCAGGAGAGTTCTCTGCACCTGTGCCCACGCTCTCGCCTACTTCCTGGTGCGTGGAGGTGGTGTCCCTTTCCTTCTTCTCCACCTGTCGGCTCCTCTGCTAAGTCTCCCCTCTCTCCGGCTACCCAAGCACTTCATTCCGCAAATAATTCCCTTTCTCTGCTGCGTCCTCAGCTTATCCTTCTCTAATGGATCATTCCTATTTGCAAACTGCCTGAATCACCTTTTTAAAAACATCCTTCCTTGACTCCACAGTCAGGGTCCCATTATGGGGCATCCAATGAGCCCGTACGCTTTTGCCTTCATGGGTCATAAGATAAATACTGAGTAAATAAATATCAAATAAATATTAAACATATTTTATCACTCACTGGTGAAAAGATGAACATAGTCCAGTCGGGACTGCATTTCTTTCTCGTTCTTCTGATTTTGAAAGAAATGAAACATACAGAAGATAGTAAAAATCCTGTGGGTCCCAAGGCACTGTGTCTACCGCATCCCGTTGCCTCTCTGGCTACCGTGTTAATTTTGGCTCCTCTTCTAACAAAACCCCTTGTGGAAGATGTTCTTTTCCCAAAAAATGGCACAGCGACAGATCTGGTCTCCCTCATTCCTCCCATCAAGGGGAAGAGCCTACTTCTCCTTCTCTTCTACCTGCATGGGACTTTGTGGCTACACATTGGAGAGAATAGGTAAAATCCCTTTTGGAAGTCACTAGGTGACTTCCAAATCTCAGCCATCAGAAGCAATGGGGCTTCTGCGTGCCTCTCCCTCAGGACTTGCCCTGAGAGCTCAGCCCCGTACTGTGGGAAGCCCAGAGCACCCGGGGGCATTCTGGCTGGCAGCCCACCTCCACCACCCGGAGCATCGGGTGAGTGAGTGACTCTGCAGATGACTCCGGCCCTCATCTTCCAGCCACTGCAGCTGATACCCAATGGGGCATGGTCCTCGAAGAGCCGTGACCAAGCTGTAATTCGTGTGCAAAGTAAGTGTCAGTGAAGCTACTAGGGGCTGGGTGTTTTTCAGGTAGCAATAGATAAGCGAACATTCTCAAAACTGTTTTGCATCCTCTTGTCTCTTATTCACACAGCTTTTACTCCAACTGGATACTCATCCTTGTCACTCCAGGGAGAGGTGGTCACCAATGACCTACTTTCCTTACCCAATCTGCCAACAGATTCATCCCAGTTCAACCAATGAATTCCTTCCCCAAACCCTCCAGGTTTCAAGAACCCACAATCCTCTGATTTCACTCCAAACTCACCGACCGCTCATGTCCTTTGCTCGCACCTCCTCCTGTTTAACAAATCTCTTTCTGCTTGGGGCTCCCAGGCTTGTCGTCAGTTCTCCTCTACCCTCCCCATGTTGCCGTCCAGGTGAGCTCACTCACCCCGACATCACAAACCATTGGTAGGCTGATAGCTTCTAAATCCCAACCTGCCAGCTGGACCTCTCTCCAGAACTCCAGATTACGAACCTAGCTGCCTACCAGACATCTATACTCAGACTGCAGACGTGCCAAAGCCAAAGCCAAGTTCCTGATTTCCTTAGATGCCTCCCTCGAGCCTTTTCCACCTCTGTAACAGCATGACCATGTACCCGGCTGCTTTGGCCTAAAACGAGGAGTTGTTCTTCAATCTTTTCTTGCTCCCAGATCTCATTTCAATCTACCAGTAGGCCGTTTCATCAGCTTCACATCCAAGCCATATTCTGAGTCCAACCACTTCTCATCATTCTTGCATCTCTTGTCTAGGCCGTGTCCTCACACCGGTCCCTGAAGCAGGTCCTAACTGGTGTTTCTGCCCCCTTTCGCAGTGCCTACCTAGCAGCCCAAATAGTGTGTTGTAAAGATCTGATCTGTCACTCTCCTATTCCAAACCTTCCTATGGCTTCCCATTCACACTCAGAATTAAAACCACGCTCCTTCCCACAGCCATGATGTGTGACACGATCGAGCCCTTGCCTACTTGGTCTTCATGCTCCTCAGCCCTTGTCCCCAGACACACCAAGCTCATGGGGCCTTACCATTGATTGTTCCTGCTGCCCAGACCGCTCTGCCCCTATGGCTTCACGTGACTGTCTTCTTGACACTCTTCCCACCTCAGAGAGTTATTTCTCAAGCCCACCTCAAGTAGCCCCTCAAGTCACTCTGACACTATCCTATTTTATTTGCTTCATCATGCTTAACTCAATCTTATTCTCCCATCCCACCCCCCACTTATATGTCTTCTTTCCCAAGCCCAAGATCCTTGAGGAGAGGACTTTACCGTATACACGGAATTCCCAGTGTCCACAACAGTGCTTGGCACATACACGGAACTCATATACTTATTGAGTCACTGAGCAAAGGGCTCAGCACAGTGCTGAATGAATGGGAGCTCTTACTCCTAAATTTTATAGAGCGGCTCCCTTGATTCAAGAGTGGCTGGGTTCACGGGTAGCTCTTGATGTGACATGGTAATGGGATTTTAGACCTGGAAGAGGCCTGGAAGATCCTGTAGTCCAGGGATTTCCATTTTCCCCACCACCTCACAGCTGAAGACAGGTGCCTGGCAGCTGTGGCGGCTCTGCACCCACAGCACCTTAACAGAGGGGTGTGAAGGGGGTGTCATCCCTGTCTCTTCGCGCTTATCGAGATTTAAGCAGTACTGAGGAGTGACTGCAGCACAGCACCTGTGCTCACGTTAAAGAACAATATGAACGTGGGGTGCCTGCGTGGCTCAGTCGGTGAAGCATCTGCCTGCGCTCAGGTCATGATCCCAGAGTCCTGAGATCCTGCCCCACATGGGGCTCCCTGCTCAGCGGGGAGCCTGTTTCTCCCTTTCCTTCCTGCTTGTGCTCTTTCTCTCTCAAATAAATAAATAAAAACTTAAAAAAAAAAAACCCAAAAACTATGAATGAAATAACTCGACTTAACCTCTGGTCAAGGAAACTACAATTCAGTTGGCTACTTCCGTGTGGGTCAGTTGCCCATGACCTGCCCTTAAATACCGCTGAGCTGTTGAGGTATAAATATATCATCTGAAAGAGGATTAGGAGCCATACAGGGAAATGATAGCTGGAAGCGAGTGACAATAGCAACGATTTAAGGAGGGCAGGGTTAGGAATTGAGCGGGGATTTGCAGACAACGCTGGGGATCCCAGGCAGTCAGCCGTAAGCCTGGCTCCAGGAATAATGTCTGGGAGCTACGAGCCAGAATCTGCTGAGCCCTGGACAGGCCTGGCCTGAAGCACTACTGTAAATCGTCTCCATGCCAGTTGTCTTGTGACTCAGTGAGACGCCCCTGCTGAAGCCTCAACTCTCCTGTCGCCCCCCTCGGACACTTAGGACCAGTGTTGGCCCTGAGACCACAGGGATTACACTGTATATCATGCTTCCTGCCTTTATTCATACACATTTACACCTTTTATTCTTCAGATACTTTCTCCCTAATCAATCTTTTTTTTTTTTTTTTAAAGTCAGCTCCACCCACGCTCAGCCTGGAGCTCAATGTGAGGCTTGAACCCACGACCCCGAGATCAAGACCTGAGCTGAGATCAAGAGTCGCACATTTGGGGTGCCTGGGTGGCTCAGAAGGTTAAGCCTCTGCTTTCGGCTCAGGTCATGGTCCTGGGTCCTGGGATGGAGCCCCACATCCAGCTCCCTGCTCAGTGGGGAGCCTGCTTCTCCCTCCCTCTCTGCCTACTTGTGATCTGTCAAATAAATAAA